AAATAAAGTGTAATAATTATTAGTTTCCATTTATAGCTGCTGAGATATGTCTGTGATTAAAAGAGAGAGCTCAAAATTAGAAAAAAAAAGGAAAATCAGAGGAAGAGATCAAAATGGAAGGATGAAGGAGCATAAAAAGACAAATTTAAAACTAAAGTTGTGGGAATAAAAACTTAGAAAGAATAACATTGTAACAAACTATAGAAATGATTCCTGAGGGCAGCCCGGGTGGCTCAGCGGTTTAACGCTACCTTCAGCCCAGGGCGTGACCCCGGGGTCCTGGGATCGAGTCCCATGTCAGGCTCCCTGCATGGAGCCCGCTTCTCCCTCTGCCTGTGTCTCCGCTTCTCTCTCTCTTTCTCTCTCACAAATAAATAAATAAATCTTTAAAAAAAAATGATTCCTGAAAGTATAGTCTTCAGAATAACATTGTAAATGAGAAGTTTCTAAAATTCATAAAGTAGCATAAATTAAATAAAAAATAAAAGATACAAAAGAGCAAAGAGCTAGAAAACAACAAAAAATCTAAAAAATTAAGAATAACATGTTGATAGATCCTGATAAAATAATATGAACAGTTAGAAGTATTCAAAAAGATGAGATTTTTAAAATAGGAACTAGAAGGTAAAAAGAGAAATTAAGGTAAAGGCTAAGAGTTATGAGGCAAAAAGTGGGAAGAATCTAGAAGGATTTACATTTAAAAAGCTAAATGAAAAATAATACCATAAAGATAGAGGGAAGAGAAAAATGTACTTTTTGAAAACAGTTTACAGTGAGACAAGAACAAAAGCAGACTCTAATCAGATAAGGATTGCAAGTGGGAAATAGTGGTCTGGGTGGGGCTAATTGCTGGAAGTGAGGAGGCCAAGATCAATTGATAGGTGATGATGAGACATATTTTCTGCTCACCCATAACACTCAGCTGGCAGCACTGTCAGCCTGCACAGGTCAAGACGAGGCTCATGGCACTTGACTCCATCCCACAGCTGACTGGGTCCTTCCAAAGTCATACCCCTTGGCAGCAAACACGCCTTCACTTTGGCTCTTGGAATATATTCAATTCTACCTTAGTTTTTCTTCAACATATTTAATAGTCCTTTTGTTATCTTTACTTCTTCAAAGGCGAAATTCACAAGTGAAAGGCAATCAAAACATGTTATTGTTGAGTGGATTTATTCCATTGTATTTCCTTGAAGTTCTTGTGGTGTTTGGTTATTATACTGTTTTCTCTCACACACAGTAACTTTATTACCTGGCTTCATTTTTGATGATCCTAACACTTCTAACACTTCTTACTGATCCTGAGTTGCTTGGTTATTTGCTCCTTTCAGTGTAATTAGTGGTAGTAGGATGGGGGGTGGGGCAGTGAGACAACCTACTGGACTTGTTCTTGGACTGGGCCGTAAGAGTGAGGGTGTGGTGGTGGTGGTGGGGAGAGTGGAGGAGTCATAGATGACTCCTGGGTGTCTGGGTGTTTGCCATTGTGATGGAGTGGTTGTTAGTTTAGGAGACCAAGTTAGGGGTGGTGATGGTTAGGAGTCAGGGTCAGGCTGCACCTGGAACACTCTGGGGCACTATAGCTGTCTATAATCCTTAAACTCCGAGGACAGCTTGAATTTCGTGATAGACAGAATCCCTCCCTCCCAGCTACCTCTGGAGGTAGCAGATGGCTCACTGTGTATACCAACAGGGCATGGTAACCCTGGTCCTCTGTTTATAATCTGGGCAGTCCTCAAAGCACTTTGCTTTATTAATTGGCTATCCATTATCCAGAGACCAAAGTCAGATAAAGCTCATCATCTGGAACCTTTCATGCCCACACCACCTTGGAAGTACAGCGTTCACCCACAACTCCCTACAGTTCTCTAAAAATATGCCCTTCATAGCAATGATAAGTTTCCATCTCTTGAGGCACCATTGAAATCTCCTGGAACCGCAGCCAAGTTGAGCCTGATGAATCACCCTGGCCCTTCAACAGAACACAGTTCTTTAGAATTGATGCTCTATTCACAGCTGCCAGGAGAATGTGAGATAGAATTTATCGTACTTTATAGATTTGGGGATTCTTTTTTTTCTATATTACAAGTTGATTTTGTCCCTTCTGGTCACAGAACAATTGATTTAGCTTCCTTTTATCAACCTGTAACCACTTTCTGGTCCTGCCTTGCTCATGTGACTCCTAGGCTCCCTTGGCTGATATTTTGGGTGTTCCAAACGTTTCAGCCACACATTTTGAATTTCTTGGTTTATTCCAGAGATGGCTGGTCACATCCATTGTGGATAGATTTACAGTCTCTTAGAGAATATTCCTCTTCTGGGTAGGCTTATTGTAATACTTGATATAATGGGAATGTACTGGTTCTGGACTGGAGGTATGCTTGTGAGGCAAGACTCTCACCCCTAGTCACTCCACAGTGTTGTGGTTTTCCTTTGGTCCACATGAGGAAGCCTAGAGTTCACTCTACTTAGATGATATGGGAACATGTCCACTTAGCCCTGTAGCCTTCACATTGGTTGACACCAGACTTTGTCAGCTTGTCCCCAAATGGGATATGCCTGTTGAACTTACATACAATAATTGTCCTTCTTCTGCTCTTGTCCTTGCTCATCTATTCCTGCTTCTAATATTTTTAGTTTCTTTGGCTTTATCTCCCATTTCTGGCTCTGAACCCCCAGCTATTATGTCATTAATCCTTTATTCTTTTCCTTTTCGGGTCTTCCCACCCAAAGCTCCATGGGCCCTCTCCCATCTACTGAATCACTGTAGCTTTGCCATCCTCTGCCTCCTGCCCCTGCTGGGCTTCTTCCATCTCATCTAGTTTGAATAGACAAGTTTTGCCTACATCACAGTTTTGCTGAGGATTCTGACCTGTGTGAACATTAAAAAACCAAAGGCTCAGTTAGTACCTGGGGGGCTCAGTTAGTAAAGCTCCCGACTCTTGATGTTGGCTGAGGTTGTTATCTCAGGGTCCTGGGATCAAGACCCAGGTCAGGCTCTGTGCTCAGGGTGTGTGTGTGTGTGTGTGTTGTATGTACACGTGTCTGCTTGAGGAGTCTCACTTTCCTTCTGCCCCTTCCCTTGGTCACATTCTGTTTCCCTCTTTCAAATAAATCTTAAAAGAAAAATAGGCTCATGGGTTCATTTATTCTTTAAGCAAACATCAATTGAGGCCTTTATGTGTTGCAAGCACCATACATGCAAGATTAAAAAAAATATTTTCCACCTTCAAGAATTAGTAGAGCCAGGCTGGCTCAGTTCTTAAGCGTTTTACTCTTGATTTCAAGCTCAGGTCATGGTCTCAAGGTCACGGAATTGAGCCCAGCGTCGGATTCCAGGCTGAGCAGAGTCTGCCTGAGATTCTCTCCCTCTGCGGCTCCTCCTGCACATGCTCTCTCTCGCTAAAATAAATAAATCTTAAAAAAAAAAAAGAAAAAGAATTAGTAGAGATATAAGTATTAGTAGAGGAATCCTGGAGTTTACAAAATACTTTCAAAAACATTAATGCGTTCAGGAACAATTTAATGTATCTCCTCCCCTTGTTTTAATATGGAGCATATGGTGGTGGGGGACTCCTTCACTACACAGATTCAAGCCACTGCCCACTTTGACACCTTATTCCTAAACTTTGATTTTTTTTTTTTTTTTTATCGAAATCCTTGGGCATGTGATGGCCACATCATGGGACATTGGTGACCACGTCCTTACTGGAATTCTTTCGTTTCCTGCTGTCTTCTCAACAGTCCTTCAACCGAACATCCTGCTTTGCTCTTTGGAGGTTCCTTTTCCTTTGTTCACACCTACACATTTGATGTTTTCTTGGGCTCCCTCCTTTCTTCTCTACACACTTCCCTGGGCAGGCCACACTGACCTCCCTGGAAGGCGGCTTCTTACGTGAAACACTCCTCCCCGTCCTTCAGTCTCCACCACCAGCTTAACTCCCCCGGGTCTGGGTGGACCCCGCGGCCTGTACGTATCCCCCTGGGGAAGCAGCACCCGTCCGCCTGCCGGCTCTCGGTCAGGGTGCATGCTGCAGGGACCCCGCCTAGGTCGCCCCTCTGTGCATCTGCAGGGCCAGCCCAGCCCGGGAGCATCGGCACCTGCAGGGCCAGCCCAGCCCGGGAGCATCGGCACCTGCAGGGCCAGCCCAGCCCCGGAGCATCGGCACCTGCAGGGCCAGCCCAGCCCCCGGAGCCTTCAGCAGGTGCCCAACAACCGAGTGCCTAGTAAACGAAAGAAAGAATAAGTAAAACCGTGTCCCAGGGAAGAGGCCGAGAAGCGAGGCGAGAGCCCGGGCCGGGCGGGCTCAGCATCCCCCGCAGCGGCCTGGCTCCGGAGCAGGGGGCCGAGGCGCCCGCGGGCCGGCGGGAAGGCTTTTCTCAGAGGTCGCCTGGCTAGAGTGACCGGCCACAGCCCGTCGCCCCCGCGACGCGAGGTCACAAAAGTGTCGCGACCCCCCGCCAGGCCCCGCCCCGCCCCGCCCCGCGCAGCCGCGAGACCGCCGACCACCGCCGCCGCCGCGCTGCAGCAGCGCGCGCCGCTCTTGGCCCCGGCCGGCCACCGTCGCCGCTACCCCGCCGCGCCCCTGACCCGGAAGAGCATTCTCCTTAGCAACTGCGGGACCGCCGCGGCGCCAGCCTCCCGCGAGCAACGGTGAGGCCTCCCCGCCCCCGTCCCGCGCGCCCCACCTCGACCCCCTTCCCGGGACCGGCCCTGGGTCTGGGCCGCCGGGCGCCCGCGGCACTCAGCGGCGGCGGCCCCGGGCGTGCGCCCTCCGCCTCTGGCATCGCTGCCCGGCTCCGGCGTCGCACCTGCCCACCGCGAGCCCCCAGCTCCCCGCCGACCGGACCCGCCCGGCTCCTCGGCCCCCGCCCCGGCCCTCCCCTGCCGCCCCCTCCCCTTAGGGCGGATGGGAAAACCAGAATTAAACAGAGCCTGTTGCTGCCGAGAGGACGCTTCCCGAGGCTCGGTCACCTGTGGACGCGTTCTCACGGGTCCTGATACGGATGTGTGGGATGGAGCGTTTGAGGAGCCCCGCACAGCAGCCGCTTAACTAAGGATCCTTGACGTTTGCTGCTTTGCGCCTTCCAGAGTGATGTTCTCTTACCCGCTTTTGTTGATGGTGGAGACGGATGTAACGGAACGTCTTGAACTGATCCTTTTCCGCAGGGTTAGGTTTTCTGTTTTAAGGGATGCGCGGTTAGGGATTAGGTAGCTTAGATTTTTGTCTCGTCCAGTTTCCTACAGAAGGGACTCTCCCCGGGACTGAGTTTGGGGGAGGGGGGGGGATATCAAGTGAAATCACTACTTCAAGGAAAGTAAGGGCAGGTGTTTGTTAGGATCTCTGACTTACACTTGAAAAGAGACCCCTGACCCAGAAAGCCTCCCTTAATTGAGTTTGTAGGTGTGGTCCTAAGAAGATATAAACTTTGAACATTGTCGGGTAACAGCTTTATATTGGATCTAATGATGGAGCTAAAAGCGAGGCATGTGAACAGTTTTCAGGAATGACATTGGCAGGAATTTCTTTTCTTTTCTTTTTTTTTTTTTTGGCAGGAATTTCTATACTAAAATCCACTATTCAATGCAATATGATTTCATGTAAGTTCAGTACGCATTTAATAAGCACCCACAGTGTTTCACGTACGCGAAGGGATATAAAACAAGAGAGTGTTTTCATTAAATTAGTGGGAAAACTATAAAGCGGCGTTGTTTAAATGCAAAATCAGAGGGAGGAGAGGTCAGTGTGGGCTGGAGTTCTCTGTATTATGTTTATGGGTTATATCTCTGAAGTATAAATACAGTTTGTATTGGAGGGGACTGGGAATTCTAAAGAGTTTCTTAATGTTCTTAAGCATTTTGGGAAGTAGTTCCAAGTGACATTTTGTAGTTTTTATTTAAAGCTCTACAGTCACTTGATTGCAGTATCTATTTCTTCCACTCTTAGTACAAGATCTAAATGAATATAGCTACTAGCAGGGGACTTTGCCGATTAAGAGATGCACTCCTTTGGTTCGGTGATGGTCTTACTTTCATATGAATCACCACCTTTTTTTTTTTTTTTAAAGGTTTTATTTATTTATTCATGACACACACAGAGAGAGACAGAGACACAGACAGGCAGAGGGAGAAGCAGGCTCCGTACAGGGAGCCTGACGTGGGACTCGACCCCGGGACCCCAGGATCACGCCCTGGGCCAAAGGCTGCACTAAAACCGCTGGGCCACCAGGGCTGCCCAAATCACTTCATTTTTCAGTAGAGTTAGTCACTTATTCATAAATACCTAAAAGTCTTGTGAAATGTTGCTCTTTATTCATTTGACAGATATTTCCAGAGTGCCCCCCCCCCATGTAGCAGGCATTGTATAAAGAAATACAAAAAACAAGTTGCTCAGCAAGGAGTAATTCTGTTTTATCCATGATGTGTGTGTATTTGTGTGTTTTACTTATCAGCCTTATGCTCAGCATTTGCCTAGGGACATAGAAGGGCCAGAGAAATTTATACAGACACCTGAATTGACTTTTTTTTTTTTCTTTAGGAGTTGAGTAGGGATTTTAGGTTCAATTGCTTTGGACATCCTCAAGTGATTCATTAAGGAAACCTTTTAACGATGTTTCATTGCTTTCTTACAGGTGTAGAGACCATTTATTCACTTGTTCAACAAATATATGAGTGCTTATTGGGTACATCGTGTTTTGCCTTGGAAAGGGGGAGAGTGAATGCATCTCTGGCCCCTGTCTTCAGCAGACAATACCAAATAATCACATGAATGTAAAACTCCAACAGTGACACTTTTTGATTTAGGGAAGTCACAGGAATGACATTTGAACTAAGATCTGAAGGATGCACAGGAAAGGAAGAGTATTCCAGTCAGAGCAAACAGCAAGGGCAAAGATGGTGGGGTTCTTGGGGAGGACTCGGGATATAGGGTACAGCTCTATGTAGAGAACAGGAAGAGTGTTGAAAAATCTGGCAGGAGAGGGGGCTGGGCTTTATAAGCAGGTTGAGTCTTTTTTCTTTCTTTTCTTTTCTTTTCTTTCTTTTCTTTTCTTTTCTTTTCTTTTCTTTTCTTTTCTTTTCTTTCTTATAGTCACACACACACACACACACACAGAGAGAGAGAGAGAGAGAGAGAGAGAGAGAGAGAGAGAGAGAGGCAGGCTCCATGCACCGGGAGCCCAACGTGGGATTCGATCCCGGGTCTCCAGGATCGCGCCCTGGGCCAAAGGCAGGCGCTAAACCACTGCGCCACCCAGGGATCCCATTTTTCTTTATCTTTGGAGTAAGGAGAAGCCTCTATACAGTTTTACTTAGAGACTTAGGCTGCATTGCACATGGGGGTGTACACAGATTGGGTTTAAATAGTCTACTTTGTATTTCTACCATTGCTTAGTATTTGTATTGTCTTCTTATTTCCTAAACATACTCCCATAGCTTTATTGTAGTTGGAGAAGCTTATATCCTACCAGCATGAGATCCACTTTTTTTGTTTTAATCGGGACAAAAGGAATTTTAGAGATTAGTATTGGATAATAGAAGTTAGTTGATTTGAAATGTTCGCATCAGTATGACCACTAGGGCACTAACTTCTGTGACTCTTTCTTTTAAAGATTTATTTGTTTATTTATTTATTAGAGGAAGCAAGAGTGTGTGTATGTGTGTGTTGGGGGGAGGGCCAGAGAGAGAGAGAGTCTTAAGCAGACTCCACTGAGTGTGGAGCTGGAGGCAGTGCTGGAGGATCCTGAGATCACGACCTGAGCCTAAACCAAGAGTCTTAATGTTTAACACTTAACCAACTGCATCGCCCAGGTGCCCTGTGATTGTTTCTTTTTAATTGTAGTAATGAAAACACATAAAACTTACCCTCTTAACCATTTTTAAGTGTACAGTGATGTTAACTATATTTACACTAGGCCTTTTTTTTAAATTTTATTTTACAAAACTAAAACTCTATACCTGTTGAACAACTCCCTATTTCTACTGTCACCCACCCCCAGCTTTTAGTACATTTGAGTTTTATTGCTGTAAATGTTTTTTTTTTTTAAAGATTTACCTATTTATTCATGAGAGACAGAGATTGGGAGGAGAGGCAGAGACATAGGCAGAGGGAGAAGCAGGCTCCTCACAGGGAGCCTGACGTGGGACTCGATCCCGGATCTGGGCATCACGACCTGAGCCAAAGGCAGGCGCCCAACCGCTGAGCCACCCAGGCATCCCTCTGTAAATGTTTTTTAAGAGTCATATTCGAGGCACATTTTATAGTGCTCACCTCAGAATGCCTTCAGACCAGTTGATTTTGGGCATTGGATTGGAAATGATTTTGAGATGGCTCAATATTTTAAGTACAAAAAAGTATAACAAAGCATTTTCTTGAGGGAGATTGGTAAACTTCTATTTGCAGTTTCCCAATTTATCCTAGACTTTGGATTCCTATAGTGTTGTACAACCAGCCTTATAGAATCCAGTTTTTAGAACGTTCTTTGGAACCTTCAGAAAATTTTTAAGTTTTATATGGGGAGTATGCTTAATGCATAAATAAGTCAAACTGTGAGTGGGCCTGGAATAGCTCCATTGATCCCTTTGAGGTCCAGCCATCTGTGCCATTACTGGTGATGTCAGAGAGATGGCCAGAATTCTTGTTGTCTTTATTAGATGGAGGGTGGTGGCTGCACAAGATGCTCCGTTGTGTCACATTATGGGACATAGAAGGATTTGATGAGGACTTTTCAGACAGCATTTTATTTGGAACCATAGCAAGAACTTGATGCCTGGAGGTTGTAATTATGTGATTGATTCTCACATTGAGGCTGGAAAGTGGTCAGGTTTAGTTCACTGTTAGTTAAAAGAAACTTATTCTTCTGTTGTTTTTTTTTTTATTGTGGTAAAATTTAACATCTTAATATTTTTTTTTTAAGATTTAATTTATTCATGAGAGACAGAGAGAGGTAGAGACAGGCAGAGGGAGCTAGTGCAGGACTTGATCCTGGGACCCACGGATCACCTTGAGCTGAAGGCAGATGCTCAGCCACTGAGCCACCTAGGTGCCCCACATCTTAACCATTTTTAAGTGTATAGTTCAGTGGTATTAAATACATTCATAATGTGCAAACATCACCACCATCCATCTCCATAACTGGTTTCCATCTTGTAAAATTGAAACTCTGTGCCTGTTAAACTTCATATTCCCTCTCCCCAGCTTCTGGCAACTACCATTCTACCTTTTGTCTCTATGATTTTTGGGTTCTCTGAGTACCTCAGAAGTGGAATTAAACAGTATCTTTCTGGGACTGGCTTATTCCATTTAGCGTAGTATTCTTAAGGTTCATCCATGTCGTAGCATAAGTCAGAACTTCCTCTTTTTAAAGGTTGAATAATTTTCCCTTATATGTACATACCACATTTTGCCTATCTGTTCCTCTGTTGGTGAACACTTGGGCTGCTTCCACATTTTAGCTATTGTGAATGATGCTGCTATGAACATGGGAGTACCATCCAACTACTTTCGATTCCTTTCTTATATCCCAGTACATCTGCTTCTGGGATGCACGGATGTCAGCAAAGAGACATTGGCGGGGAAGGACTTTAATGTGGCACAAAGTACAGTGAAAATGTCATGGATGGAAATCACCTGGCTGATAAGGGCTAATAGAGGTAGCTTGCCTCAGAAAATGCCTTCTAATTAGAAAGTGAAGAAGAGGAAGGGGGTTATTATTTATGGAGCCCCCTCCCCTCGTATGTGTCAAATAAGTCACATGCCTTATGTCGTTTAATACCAGTTGTTATCCGATGAGAAAGATGGTTTGGCTCTTCTACTGATGAGAAAATTGAGGCTCAGGGAGTTTACTTAAGTTATAAGGCAATATGTATTAGGACCAAAATATGGACCCATGTCTGTCTGATTCCAAAGCTCATATTCCTTCCACAGCACTGCATCATGTTACTTCTCTAAATCAGGTTCTGATTTCAGCATGAATGCTAGACTGAGAATATCAACATAAATACTATAGGGACTATAAGGAAAAGGACAAGTAATGAAGTAGGCTGATATAGTAGGAAGTTAAAAAAAATCTTTAAAATAAATATTGTTGGAGCATTTGGTAGATTGGAGAGCTTGGGTACCCAAACCAGGAGGCAGAAAGTCATATGCTAATTGAGGAACTCTGCTCTTTA